CCACAGCGCCTCCGAGTTCATCCCGCACACGGGGCCGGGGCAGCGGCAGCTCCGGCCAGCCTTGTCGTAGCTCATTCCCAGGCTCAGCCCCAGCAGCTGCGCCAGCACCACCGAGAAGGTCTCCAGCGTCATCGTGCCGCGGTGCTGCGGTGGGGACAGGGGCTCCTGTCACCCCCGGACACAGGGCTCTCCCTTCGGGCTCCCAGGGGACGGTACCGTACCACGGCCACCCCTCCAGCGAGGTTCTTGTGACACAACCTGCTCGCAGAGGAGGCTCCCACGTAACGCGGCTGCTCCCGGTGCCTGCGGGATGGAGACGGCTCCACGTCGCATCCCCCCTTCCCGTCCCTCGCGGCCCCACACAGCTTCCCACCTCACTCACACGAACAGGAACGTTACGTCCTGGAGCCGCAGGACACGGTGGGTGTTTTTCCACTGCAGAAACCTCTGCAGTAACTCCTCAGCCCCTCCCGTGGTGGGGATTTTATTCCGTTCCGTCCAAAACTCCAGGGAGGTCAACACTACGGTCAGGTTAAGGCGAGCAAACATCTGGAAAACAAGGATGCAGTGGAGAGCCGGGCAGATCCACCGGCTGCCACGCAGGTGGGGACCGCGGGCGCCTCACGCTGTTCACGTAGCTGAAGAGCTGAACCATCTTCTCGGTCACAGCAGCCTTGTCGGCGCCCATGTGCTCGTACTGAAACGGGCGCACGTCACCGCGAGCGTCCCCGGAGCCGCCAGGAAGGCGCTTCCCTGGCACTGGCTCCGGATGGCAAATTCCCAGCGCCTTTCCCACCACGCTGCTACTTCTACTCAAAGAAACGACTGAGCGGGGAGGGCGGAAAAAGACTTACCAGGGCCTTGTCCACAACTGCGTGCACCTCCAGATAGCCAGGGGATCTAGCGGCAGCTTCCTCACCCTTAGGAAAATAAAGAAAACAGTAAAGAAGCCCCCACGTGCAGTAATGGGTGACTTCTTCGCTCTATAGTTGCTACACAAGAGCCACTTTGGGTTACAGTCAATTCCTGCTCTTCCAAGCCCATTTCAACTGTTTGCCAGGCTCCTGCTCCTCTAGGAAGCGATTCCGTATGACACCCGCAACACTGACCATCCGACTGCCACATCTGGGGCTCTCCCCATATTTACAAACCTGGTACAAATTCTTTGCACCAAGGAGACAAACCCAGACTGGCAGCTTCGCCCAAACATCTGGAAACAGCCACCTCCCAAAAGGAGGCACCCTCGGGATCGGCACTTCCCGAGTCCCAACCGCTTCCTTCTGGAGCCGGTTTGCAGGGAAAACAACACTCAAAGCTGCTACAGGCAGAACTCACCTGTGTTCCTCCGTCCTGTTCCGGTGCCATCTCCTGCGGCCGTGCGAGCGAGCTGTTTTCTACGAAAATCGGATTCTCTACGTCCTCATTCTCCACTGAATAGATGAGGTGCTGATATCCCGGCACGGCATCCAGGGGCTCGATTCCATAGGTGGCATTGGCGAGCTGCAGAACCCCACTGCAAGCGAAGGCGCGGGGCTCCCTCGGGATGATCCCTGTGGCACGGAGCAAGCTCACGGGCCCCGGACCCACCTCAGTCCGGAGCAGGTGCTAAGTGCCACCAGGGAACCCGGGACACCTTCCACGTAGCCTTCGTAGAAGCAGTCGCGCTGCAAAGGAACAAGGCGGATCGATGGCACGACAGCCAGGAACGGCTCACAGCGCTGCACGGCTGGGATTTTCCCCTGGGATTGGGAAAATCGCCGCTTGCATGGAAGCATCCACAGCAGCCAGGCCGCCTGCCTTTGGGGACAGAGCGTCACGGACCCGCTGCTGGCATCGGCCACCACAGCTGCGTCCGAACGCTCCGTCTCTCACTACCTGAAACTCCCAGATTTGGTTCCCTTGAGGAAATTCCTCCCAGTGAGGGCGCAGGGGGGAACACACCATGTGCGGAGCGCCCCAAGAGAGGCCCAGGCCCGTTTTCACCTGCCTGTTTCTTCAGAAACTGAAATCACCCCGATCTGACACTCGGCCTAGCAGAGCGCACGGGTCCTACCTTGATGGGCACCAGCTCGGACGTGACGAGGCCCCCGCGGCCGTCCGTGTAGATCCGGAGGTCGTTGGGCAAAAACACTCTTCGCACAGAAGCAAAAAGAGGGATTTTGAGCCCGGCACGGCGGCAGTGCGTGCCCCGTCCCGTGTGCTGGCGCGCGAGGCCAGCGG